ATTTCACGTATTGGAATCCAAATATCTGATTCTAACAATTGACTGCTCACTGTACAGCCAAGTTGATCTGGATCAAGCTGATGACCATGACTCGTCTCCAATGTTTTGTCGATGCATTCTTGGAAAATTCCTTTTAATAAACCCTCAGGATCGGGTGGGATATTCGTAATTAAGAATTTAGTAGAAAGTTTGGTAAGGTTAAATTTCCGGGTGATTTTAGTTTCTTCACCCAAATGTTTTACATAATCACCATCACCTTTCTGTAATAGATTATCAATGAAGAAATGTCGTGCTTTCTTCGAAGGTGGAGGAGACATTAATAATAAAATAAATTCAAAATTAGAGACTAATTCAAAAGTATTAAATTTCTTAGAATTTTAAAGAATGAAGAAAGAAATGTGAAATCCTTTTTTAAGAAAATATTCCATAAAATAATTGATGTGTTGTAAAATAGGAATTTCACTGAAATTCCATTTCATTATTTTCAGTCGCGGGAAAAAGCCTAAAAGAAATTTTGCATAAAAAAGCAAAAGAATTTAAAGAGAATAAAGAAAGAGCGAGCAAGTTTCGTAATAATGTTTAGTTTCGTAATAATACATACCTTTGTTTTTATTCCTTAGGATGTTGTCAAAAGAAGAGAAATCCCTATATAAAATAATCTTTTTCTTTTATTTCCAGTCAAGAAGAGGAATTTTAAAAATATATTTAACATAATTTAACTAAATAGGAAATGTTTTAAATTTTAAATAATATTTCGAGAAAGAAAATTAGCATAATAAGAAAAATTAAAAAAAAAGAAAAATTTTTAGGTATATAATTAGCAAGTTGTGAACGATGCGACGATGTTGTTTGTAGAATTTATTTTTTAAACTCTTAATTTTTTAAATTATTAGTGGGTAATTAATAGAGAGGGGTAATTATAAAACTTTATTTATTTTCATTTATTTATTTTTCCTATTACAGAAATATTTTGTTTTTATAATTATAGTCTATTTTCACTTTTCTACGCCTACTTTTTAATAATTTTTTTTTGATCAATTTTTGCATGAGCTATTTTTTACCTGATTATACTTTTTAAAGTTATTTCTATCTCCAACGTCTACTTTTTAAAAATTTACCCATTTTTAACTTTTCAACAATAATTTACAAATTTTTACAGTTTTTCTCTTGCATGACCTATTTCTAACCAATTTTCACTTTTCAACAATAATTTTGCAACATAATTATTGCATGACTGATTTTTACTATTTCTATTTCAACCGCCTACTTTTTAATAATTATTGTATTTTTTTAAGTATAAAGGGTAAAAATAATAAAATAAGATTGTAAGAAAAGAAACTTAAAAAAAAAGTTTAAGAAACAGTTTTAAAAAGAAAAAATATGGGAAATCTTGATTGAATCGTTTGAAAACTACTTATTGAACCCTAGAAACTTTGGGAAAATTTTTAGAATAAAATTTGGTGAAAAATGTGGGGAATGGTATGGTAAGGTGTTTTTTTAAAGTTCGCACCAAACCGGTTTGATCAAATTATCCCTTAAAGGGAAATCCTTAAACCTTTGGACTCTGACGACGGAATGGTTGAATGGTCGTTTAAAAATGTGGGAGGGGCTAAATGGTTGGACCCCTCTGCCCCCAACGACATATACGCCGGACTAACTACTAATCCAAATTAAAAATTTTTTAGTAAACTGTTTTACTAACATAGTTAATCTTTCTTGATAATTGTCTGAATTTCAAGGAAAATTAAAAAAATTTCTTTAAAGGAAGAAATGGTTGCGTGTGAGAAAACCTTTAAGGAGGGTGGACGTATTGAAAAGTAAAAAAGGAGACAATATTACGAATAAAGGAAGTAAAAAATGGAATTTAAAAACGCGGATTAAAAGGAAAAAACGTTAAAGAAAAATTTTGTTTGGAGAAAAAAAAAGTTTAAAAAAGAGGGTGTAAAATGTATGAGCAATTAGTACATAATTAGTAATTATCGTAAAATAAACAACAAATCAGCAGACCAAAGATGGTTTTTAATGAATTTTTATTTATCTATGCGAACAAACACAAGGTATGAAATTCATACACTAATTATTGTACAAATAAAGTAAATGCTCTAATATAAGCCCATCTCTAATAGAAGCCCATCTCCAATAGAAGCCCATCTCCAATAGAAGCCCATCTCTAATAGAAGCCCAGTCTCTAATAGAAGCCCAGTCTCTAATAGAAGCCCATCTCTAACAGAAGCCAACCCAAGGAGGGTTATCGAAAAATATAAACCCAGTCTCTAATAGAAGCCACTAAAATTACCCATTGATAAATATAAGTCCATGGCTTATATTGGAGCATTTACGGTATGTTACCTAATGAAAACCAAATTAAAATTTTAAACAACAATTCTCACATTAAAAATTTTCAGGCTTCTCAACCTTCAATAATGTTGTGCTTAAATAAAAATCGCGTGCGTCTTGCGATATAAAAGATAATGGAAAAAGAGGAAATATCCTTATTTTGAATGCTATTTTCTGTCGCTATTTGAATGGCCCCTCCAATTGAATGACAATTTTTGGGGTATTGAAAAATAAAATGGCGGCCATTCTATTAAAATAAATACGGTATGTTACTTAATGAAAACCAAATTAAAGATTAATCTTTTAAACAACAATCTTCACATCTTCCAAGCTTTTCAAGTTCCCAATAAAATAAAAAAATAAGTAAAAATAAATGGGTAAGGCCATTTCTCTCTCTCTCTTAAGGCATTTTTCAATATAAGCTGCTTTTAGTATTTGTTACTAGCGCCTGTGGCAGATAATCCATAAATTAGCGAGCGTGTACGCGCGTAAAGGGTAAATAAAAAATGTGGGGTAAGAGAATATAAAGCTCTTTTTAAGGTGTCTAAAAGTGCTTCTAGACCTAAAAATGCTAATAAAATAGTACGTTCGCGCATGTAATTTAAATAAAAGTGCAAATGTGAAATAAGGAAAAATTAAACACACACTTTTAAATTATTAGTCATAATTTTTAAAAATAAAAACAAACAAAGTGATGCCACCGGAGACGTTACGAAACAAGAAAATCGGAAAAATAGTTTAAAAATGCCGGAATCGAAAGTAAAAAAAGAGCTCACAAATAAGAGTAACACTTATATTATTTCCTAAACTTATATTATTTCATCATTAATGCAATGTTATATTTCTTATATAATAAGAAATATGTAGGTATGAGGCAACAACTTAGCGGTAACATCTGTGTATGACACGGCAAGCCTGAGGATCTGATCCACTCTCAGAGCTGGAGCAGGTTATTATCAGTTTTATTTACCATACTTCTTAATCCACTCTATTAGGATTGGATTAATCAAATAACAAAGCCTTCGCCAGCACGTTCCAACTGGCGTGCTGTTTCTATGGCAGAGCCGTTTCGAAATTTAGACGGGGTTTTCTTACGATTTTCGAAGATGTTTTTTATGGGTTGAAGCAGCTCTGCTTCACAGTTTGGAGAAAACATTTATAAAAATAAATGAATGAAAATAGTGAAAAAAATATCAGATTAAATAAAAATCGCAGAAAAGGCCAAACATTTTTATTTAACGTATTGGTTAAGAGGTGGTAGGTAGCTATTGTGTAGAATAAAAAAAGAATGTTTTTATTTAATCGTGTATTTATTTGTTGGTTAGAAAAAAGATGCTTTGCAAAAGCAAAAAAAAAATTGATAGAAAAATATGTAAAGCCCCCTCCCCGTTCTAAAAATGTGCGTTTTAAAAATCTAAAAAAGCAAGTTTTAAAAATTGTAAACAATTTTTAGATGATTGAAGGGTCGAATAATAAAATAAAAGAGATTATGCAAAATACAAAACCATGTGACACGAATCCAAATAAAAATAAATTTTAATAAACTGATATAAAATATATGTATTAGGAATGGCACGGGCCAGACTGAGCGCATTGCGTTTTGCGTTAAATTTTGGCCTTGCGTTTTTCGAGATTGCCTCTTGCGCTCATCCCTGGCACGAGCTGAGAAAGGAGGTTGGAAATTGGAAAGTTGGAAATTTTCACCATTTTCGCTGAATGGTACCGTGGACCGAGAGAGAGGCAACTAAGCCTCCAAAGTTTCCCTTTCCACACATAAACAATTTATATTCGTCGTTTATATTTCGTCGTTCATCCCGAAGTCCCATGAACCCCCCACAGCCTCTCCTTTGTTAGTTGTTTCGAAAGGATCAGGAGACTTAAAAGGATATCAGAAGGATTAAGGCGGATATCTGAAAAACCCCCGATATCTCCCCTAAATCGCTTAAAACAATAATTAAAAAATAAAAAATTTAAATAAATTTTTTAATCCTTACTAATTCCACTATATTCCAGCGGAGAAAGATTGAAAGCCTTTCGATACCTTGAAAAAATAATAAATTTGATTCTTCAAAAATATTAAAAAAACCATTCAATTGCTTTATCCAACGCTTGTTTATCTTCATAACCACTAGAAATAAATTTATCTTTGTAAACACGACCAGCCAAACAAATTACATCTATAAAAATATTTAAAAAATTTTAATCAATTTTGAGTTATAAAAAAAAGAAAAAAATAAAACAATTTAAGACAAGGGTAAAGCAAAAACATAAAAATATTTTTTGAAATTTTTTTAATTTTCAAAAGCTAATCGAGAACCTTGTTAATTTTAAAAATCAAAGTTCTTGCAAATATTTTTCCAAACAAATTATCTAGCTCGACACGGTTATAATAACGTCAATTTTTTTCTATTTAGAAAATAGAATCGAAATTTTTCTATTTTTTTGAATGGACAAAATAATTATTGAGACAAAACGAGGTCGAGCTGGATAGTATTAGTGTTATTCAAATGCGTTTTTACAGTATTTCGGTAAAATAGCGATACCGAAAAACTACCGATTTTTTTTACCAAATCGACGGTACGATATCGTTAATACCGAAAACAATACCGCGGTAATATCGTACCGTGAATAACACTAGTCCTAATTAATCACTAACAATAAATCTAAAAAAATATACCAGGCGAAACCATTTGATTACCAGAAGAGTCCATAATTTGTTCGACTGTTGTGAGTGCTTTATCTCGATCCCCATTTTTATTTCTTCTATTTAAAGCAAATGCATAAAGAAAACGGACTGCCTTCAAAAAATAATTTTACGAAGAAAAATTCGAAAAATAAACCTGTGCATGTGTTATTTGTTTTTGGTCAATACGTTCCAAATCATCTATCATACCTATAATTCCATCATAGTCTTGTGTATCGCGCAAACAAAGAAGGAATTGATGAACAGTATCAACAGAGAGAACATCTTTAAAATAAATAAACTAATTTTAATTTTAAAATTATTCAAATGTGAATTCGTTTGAATGAATTCGTTTTTAGCCCTACGTTTTTTAAATCTGTTTTGTCACAATAATTATTAAATTTTGAGGGCTTCTAGAACTACTACATCAATATGCAAGCCAGTGTGTTCAGAGGATGCATTTTAAGGGAGCTAATATAAAAGTATGTGTGCCAATCAGTAATGGAAAAGTTCCAAAATTTCTTCAGCTCCAGTTCTGGAACCGCACCGGTTACGGAACTCGGACCTTTCCATCACTGGTGACAAGCCTCTTTGAATATGCATTCGTAGGAAAGTGATCCATAAGTCGGATAGGGATATGGTTGATTTTATGTTAGTATGAAGAAAATTTGTTAGATTTAATGTCCGAGCGATCCAGCGACCTTCCAGGAAGCCTAACCTTACTCTTAAACCCACACCTAACGTCTCAAATCTAGAACTAAAAATCTTCCCTACAATTATTGTAAAAATAACCTCATACTTAAAAAATTAACTAAAAATTACCAGGATTATCCAGCCTCGTCCTCATTCGTTCAAGAAATTTGCATTGTTCTCTATGCGAATCAATATCTCTAACTTTGCGTAAATCACTTAGAAATTTTTCTCTTGCATGGGCATTAGCTTCAATTGTCACATTATTTAATACTTGCTTTATTCGATCAGCAAAAGTTCCCTAAAAATTAATTTTTAAATTAAAAAAATTAAAAAAAAATACAAAAGAATCGCTCCTTCCTTTCTTCAACATCTTTTGATATTTTAATTCGTGACGTTCAAAACATCCCAATTTAGAAGAACGATCAGCGGAAAGTAAAACTGGGGGTAATGTTGAGCCACCGTCCTCTTTGGCAAGAAAATAAACAATTAAAGAACATTGGGTTAAGGTTCGCTGAAAAGATTTTGGAATTTAGAAAAATAATTTTAAAAAATAAGCTCTAGGCTAGTTTATGAGTTCAATGAAAAATTACAAGTTAAAAAAAAATTCATGAGTGTATGCGAGTATTGGACCAATGGTCGTAGCCAGGATTCTTTTCGGGAGGGAGGGCAGGTTTTAGAATTTAAACAAATAATTTAAAAAATAAGTTATGGGCTAGTTTATGAGTCCAATGAAAGATTCCGAGTCCAAAAAAGAATTCATGAGTTTATGGGAATATTGGACCCAGGGCCGGAGCCAGGATTTCTTTTCAGGGGGAGTCACTGAGGGAAATTTTTTGAATTTTGAAGGCTAATGTAAGCCAGCTTTTCCTTTTTCAAGCGAAATTTTTGAGAAAATTGGAAGGCCATAGGCCAAAAAATTCAATTTTTGCCAAATACACTCCCTAGATTTTTTCCTTTTCCCAGTTTCGAGGGGGGGGGGATTTCCCCTTCCCTCTACCACATGGTTACGACCCTGATTGGACTCATAAAAATCTTATTGGAGTCGTAAAGCTTATTGTTAGTTGGACTCATAAAAATTCGATGGACCCATAAACTGGACCAGAGAAAATTTCTTATAGTATTTTCAAGCTGCTTATAGGAAAAAATGATATGTAACAAAAAACCAAAAAATTAATTTAAGGAAAATTCAAAGAAAATTTATAAAAAATTTTATAAAAAAACCTTTAAGGCTTCAATCTGCATTTCACATTTTTGATCGTCAGGAATATCAGGTGGTGAACAACACATAATTATTATATTATAGGTTTGTCCCATTGACTCTCGAACACTGACAAAACAAAAAAATTATTTTTTAAGAATAAATTTGAAATATTACCCGACGTGGTAGCAAAGGCTCTGAAAAAGAAAAAAATTTTTAAGTGTTTAAAAAATTAATAAAATTAAATTTGTAAAATTAAAATGGAGAACAAACAGATTTATTCCAGAAAATCGAAAAAAGGGTAAATTCAAGCCCAAGTTCATAAAATACATAAATTTAAAAAAAACAAAAGTTCCCACTACATAAAATTAAAATAATTAGCTTATTTACTAGTAAAAAATAATAAAAATATCCAAAAGACAAATCTGACCTCTAATTTTAATTTTAAACTTAAATACTTTTCGAAATGGGGGTCGGAGCCAAAAAAGTCGAAACTAATAGGTTATCGACTACGCTCTAAACGATGGTTAATTTTTATTCAAAAATTTTTGCTGACAGTTCGGACGGTTCCCTTGTTAGAATATTTCAAAAAAAAATTTTTTCAAGTTACCGGCTGTTGATGAGTTATCGAAAAATCAATCAGTGCAATGTCAGCATTATAAAAACTATAATTTTTAAAGAAATTAATTTTTATTTTTAGAAAAAAAAACTTGTCAAGTGTTGAAGACTCTCCAAAATCTAATCGGTCAAAATCGATTAACTAGAAAAAAATTTTTTTGTTAAAATTTCAAAAATTGGTACTTTTCCGTTATGCCACACCCCCTAAATTGTTAAAAATTATAAGATTAAAAAAAGTGCTGAGTCGAGCAGTACCTCCTCTTTTTCACCGGAGATGTCTGTGGACCGAGATGTAGAGTTCGAAATGGTCAAAAAAACATAGGGTCATTTTGGGGCCCTTTTTACTTCCCTTGACCCCCACTTTTCGAAATGGGAGGTAGGGGAAGAAAAGCCGGGTACTACAATACGTTTTCGACCACGCTCTACACGATGGTATAATTTTTATTTAAAAATTTTTGGTCACAGTTCGAAGTGTTCCCTTGTCAACACCTTTTTCTATCCTATATATGATAGAGATAGGAATTTTGAAAAAACCGGGCCCGGGTACCCGACCCGTTCCGATCTCTAATATATGATATTCAGAAATTAATTTAGGGGTGTGTGGCATAACGGAAAAGTACCCTAAAATTTTTTTAAAAACCTGTAAATTAACGTTCAAAGCAGCAGAGACAGCCTCGATATCTTGACAAGCCATTTCTCGAACTTTAAGAAATTTTTGTACTTTTTTGTCAATAACCAAAACAGTTTTGAGTCTTCTAAGGGAACCCCCCAAACGTTGTTGTTCATTTGTTTGGGTTTTGGTTGTGGAAGAGGAAGTAACATTATTGTAAAATGCGGAAGATGAAGGGATTACTCGGGAAGAAGAGTCGATAGATTGGACAAAATCCATTTAAAGGAATAAATTAAATCCTGAAAAAATAATAATAAAAATTTAGAAATGGACTGTTTACAGGGAAAAATAATGAGTGTAGGTCTGGGATGGGCGAAATTAAAAAAAAATTTTTTCTGTATCACCAAGGAGTCAAAAATGAAAGTCAAAATTGGAAGTTCGAAGAAGCTCTGGTTACGTCTCGAGTAGGGTTGTTGGTTCTAAACCGAACCGAAGAACCGATGATTTTTCGGTTCCGGATATCCAAAGATTTTCCAAAAACCGACAACCCTAGTCTAAATAATTTTCATATCCGTCTCGAAACGAAACGAAATGGAAGAAAGGCGAAACAAAATTTCGTCAATTTCTGGTATGGCTGTACAAAAATACCCAAAACAACAGAAATGCCAACAAACAAACAAACAGAAAATTATTTCTCTTAAAAGCAATTTCTATATTTAATAAACCATACTAATGGCCATTAATCCAAATTAAAAATTTTTTAGTAAACTGTTTTACTAACATAGTTAATCTTTCTTGATAATTGTCTGAATTTCAAGGAAAATTAAAAAAATTTCTTTAAAGGAAGAAATGGTTGCGTGTGAGAAAACCTTTAAGGAGGGTGGACGTATTGAAAAGTAAAAAAGGAGACAATATTACGAATAAAGGAAGTAAAAAATGGAATTTAAAAACGCGGATTAAAAGGAAAAAACGTTAAAGAAAAATTTTGTTTGGAGAAAAAAAAAGTTTAAAAAAGAGGGTGTAAAATGTATGAGCAATTAGTACATAATTAGTAATTATCGTAAAATAAACAACAAATCAGCAGACCAAAGATGGTTTTTAATGAATTTTTATTTATCTATGCGAACAAACACAAGGTATGAAATTCATACACTAATTATTGTACAAATAAAGTAAATGCTCTAATATAAGCCCATCTCTAATAGAAGCCCATCTCCAATAGAAGCCCATCTCCAATAGAAGCCCATCTCTAATAGAAGCCCAGTCTCTAATAGAAGCCCAGTCTCTAATAGAAGCCCATCTCTAACAGAAGCCAACCCAAGGAGGGTTATCGAAAAATATAAACCCAGTCTCTAATAGAAGCCACTAAAATTACCCATTGATAAATATAAGTCCATGGCTTATATTGGAGCATTTACGGTATGTTACCTAATGAAAACCAAATTAAAATTTTAAACAACAATTCTCACATTAAAAATTTTCAGGCTTCTCAACCTTCAATAATGTTGTGCTTAAATAAAAATCGCGTGCGTCTTGCGATATAAAAGATAATGGAAAAAGAGGAAATATCCTTATTTTGAATGCTATTTTCTGTCGCTATTTGAATGGCCCCTCCAATTGAATGACAATTTTTGGGGTATTGAAAAATAAAATGGCGGCCATTCTATTAAAATAAATACGGTATGTTACTTAATGAAAACCAAATTAAAGATTAATCTTTTAAACAACAATCTTCACATCTTCCAAGCTTTTCAAGTTCCCAATAAAATAAAAAAATAAGTAAAAATAAATGGGTAAGGCCATTTCTCTCTCTCTCTTAAGGCATTTTTCAATATAAGCTGCTTTTAGTATTTGTTACTAGCGCCTGTGGCAGATAATCCATAAATTAGCGAGCGTGTACGCGCGTAAAGGGTAAATAAAAAATGTGGGGTAAGAGAATATAAAGCTCTTTTTAAGGTGTCTAAAAGTGCTTCTAGACCTAAAAATGCTAATAAAATAGTACGTTCGCGCATGTAATTTAAATAAAAGTGCAAATGTGAAATAAGGAAAAATTAAACACACACTTTTAAATTATTAGTCATAATTTTTAAAAATAAAAACAAACAAAGTGATGCCACCGGAGACGTTACGAAACAAGAAAATCGGAAAAATAGTTTAAAAATGCCGGAATCGAAAGTAAAAAAAGAGCTCACAAATAAGAGTAACACTTATATTATTTCCTAAACTTATATTATTTCATCATTAATGCAATGTTATATTTCTTATATAATAAGAAATATGTAGGTATGAGGCAACAACTTAGCGGTAACATCTGTGTATGACACGGCAAGCCTGAGGATCTGATCCACTCTCAGAGCTGGAGCAGGTTATTATCAGTTTTATTTACCATACTTCTTAATCCACTCTATTAGGATTGGATTAATCAAATAACAAAGCCTTCGCCAGCACGTTCCAACTGGCGTGCTGTTTCTATGGCAGAGCCGTTTCGAAATTTAGACGGGGTTTTCTTACGATTTTCGAAGATGTTTTTTATGGGTTGAAGCAGCTCTGCTTCACAGTTTGGAGAAAACATTTATAAAAATAAATGAATGAAAATAGTGAAAAAAATATCAGATTAAATAAAAATCGCAGAAAAGGCCAAACATTTTTATTTAACGTATTGGTTAAGAGGTGGTAGGTAGCTATTGTGTAGAATAAAAAAAGAATGTTTTTATTTAATCGTGTATTTATTTGTTGGTTAGAAAAAAGATGCTTTGCAAAAGCAAAAAAAAAATTGATAGAAAAATATGTAAAGCCCCCTCCCCGTTCTAAAAATGTGCGTTTTAAAAATCTAAAAAAGCAAGTTTTAAAAATTGTAAACAATTTTTAGATGATTGAAGGGTCGAATAATAAAATAAAAGAGATTATGCAAAATACAAAACCATGTGACACGAATCCAAATAAAAATAAATTTTAATAAACTGATATAAAATATATGTATTAGGAATGGCACGGGCCAGACTGAGCGCATTGCGTTTTGCGTTAAATTTTGGCCTTGCGTTTTTCGAGATTGCCTCTTGCGCTCATCCCTGGCACGAGCTGAGAAAGGAGGAACAGGATTCGAATCCGAAACTAGAATTTAAAAATTAGAGGCCGAAACTAATTAAATTCGAAATGATACGTCGAATTCGAAAATTCGATTTTACAAAAAAGGCAAGTCGAAGTTTGAATTTGATGTATCCGATCGAATATTCACCTATCTTTGCCTAACTTCGACCCTTGATTAATGTTAAATTCAAACAACTAACAACCCCAATTAAAACATTCTCAGAAAATAGTAATAGAAAGCTTTTTATATTGATAGGATATAAAAATGATAATCACCCACCTCAGATCAATTAAGCATTTTGTCCATATAATTAACCATCTAAAATTTTAACCTAATTCTCTTGCTTTTTAAATTATGAAAAATTATTTTAAAAAATATAAAGTCAAATAAAATAAAATAATTTATCTTAAAATTAAGGCACTACTGAAGAAAAGGGTGCTTTTTATGCGGACTTATTTTGCGGACTTTTTTTTACTTTTAAATGATTCTTTTTTAATGTTTTGGCTGTCTTGCTTGTAGCAAGTTTTGCTTGTAGCAACTAACTGTCAAAGGATTAATTTATATGCCAATTTGAAAAATATGTGTTCACGATTAATTTGAACATTATAAACGTAAAAAATGTTACAATCAATAAAAAATTTTACTTTAACTAAATTTTCAATTATCCGATGATGAATTTCAACAATGGATCACTGATCTTGGAATGCTTCATCAAAAAAGAATATGTGATTGTGGAACAGAGATGCGGGTAATTCCTTGTCCCCCCCCCCCCCACCCCCCCCCATTATTTTTATTACCTAAGATTGTACAAAATGGTCAGATTTCCTTCTTCCTCTTTTTCCTCTATTTGAGCTTGGCATATTCAAACAAGAGACATTGTTGATAAAGAGAAGATTAATTGAGTTGTTCAATATTTTTAATTGAGGTGTTCGATATTGAAGTTCAATTTATTTTTTCAGTTGTTAAAGATTTTTTAAATATAAGTATGAATGTAATGTTTTTAAACAGAAATGCATAATGTTACACACCAAATCATTTTATATAATTCTTTATTTTGTTTAAATTGTTTTCAAAGGCAAAAAAATAATCTTCTCTTTATCAATGTCTCTTGTTCCAGGGCAAATAGAGGAAGGAGAGCAAGAAGAAAATCTGACCTTTATGTACAATATTAGGTAAGAAAAATAATAGGGGGGAAGGCCTTTGACAGTTACCGTATTTCCTAAAATAGTAAGGCCGGCCGTACTATTTTTCAACCCTCTTCCAAAGGGCCGTACTATTTCAGGGGGCCGTACTAATTTAGGGGGCCGCACTATATTTCAACCCTTTTTCAAAATTATCTGAATCTTTTTTTGTTTAAATTTTTTAAAGTATGCTCGGAAATTATCCCAAATCAAAAGCTTGTTCCAAACATGAAATTAGCAGACCTTAAAAATTATTTAAGACCCGTCTATAATGACATCTGTATCAAGCTTAAAGTTTTTTAATTTCGAGGTATTAAGAGAGTAGAAAAATTATGGTACTGTCCATAATCAAGAACGATGGGGAACCTCTCAAGAACCTTTCATATCCTCATATCTCTCTTAAATATTTATATTCTTCAACGTATAATATAAAATATTCTTTACATTACCAGTTTATCTTATCTTAGCCTCACTATAGTGTACCCCTTGGGGTAAAAATGGTATCCAGGAATGAAGGAAGTTCAGTAAGTACAATAGAGGTTCGGTAGCTGATGAATTAGGTCTGGACTATAAATGATGAATTAGGCCTGGGCCTGATTCATCTATCCGACAACCCTACTATAGAGAGGTCCGACTGTAGTTATTCATATATTTTTAATGATAGCGCAAATATTCTCGGCGCAAAAGTCACGGAACCCTATAAACTATTCGTTATTCACCTTGATTCCAACTAATCCTTTTAAATTCATCCATACTTAAATCACTCCAAGTCCATAAATATCCTTCCAAATCCGATAAAATCCCCATTAATCCCCCGATATCCTCTTAAGCACTCCTATTTCTATACCAATAGATATTAAGATTCAATAAATTAATTAAATATTGCGAGGAATAATGACTATGATTAGAAAATCAAATTTTGTCTATTTTTATATTTTTTAAATGGGGGCCGTACTATTTTAGGGGGCCGTACTAATTTAGGGGGCCGTACTATTTTTCAATCTTCTTCC